ACTGTTTAGAAGCAGATCTCTTAGAAGTGGTGAATGCCTCACTTCTTTCTGGGACTTTTCCAAACTCCCTGAAAATTGCAGTTGTTAAGCCCCTTCTGAAAAAGAGCAATCTTGATAACACCATATTGAGCAATTATAGACCAATATCAAATCTTCCTTTTATAGGCAAGATTATTTAAAAAAGGCTGTTTTCAATCAGCTAAACAACTACTTAAACTCAAATGGATACCTGGACAATTTTCAATCTGGTTTCCGACAGCATCACAGCACAGAGACGGCGCTCATTAAGATAAATTATATTCGCTTTAATTCTGATTCTGGCAAAATATCAGTGCTGGTGCCCATTAGACCGCTGCAGCTAATCCAGAACGCTGCTGCCAGAAAATCTGAGCATATCACACCAGTCCTCAGGTCCTAACACTGGCTTCCAGTTATTTTTAGGATTGATTTTAAAGTATTATTACTAGTTTATACAGTGGTGGCCAAAATTATTAGAACACTCTGTATATTTAAGAGGTTTCAGTTGTTTTTGTTGAATTGGCCATTACCATTACAATACAATACCCATAAAACAAACTATTGCCGGAACTACCTGCGATGGTAGGAATCTGCTGGAACATTGAAAATGATGGACTGGCCCCCTTAAAGTCCTGACCTCAACCCCATCAAGCAAAATTGGGGAGAGTTAGAAAATAAACTGGACAGATCTATTGTAGATTCAAAGGAAAGCCTTTGGCTTGAGTTGCTGAAGGCATGGGATAACATTAGTGTTAAAGTTCTCAGGAAATATATTGACACTATGCCAGAGAGATGTGCTACTGTAATTGCTGCAAAAGGTGGACATACCAGATATTAAAGTTAAAAGTGGATAAAAACAGTACAACTCACTTCATCTGATATTTGTTGTGCTCAGCAACCATCTGCATGTTTCATGAACATTATGAAATGACATCATGTTTTGGAGGCAAAAAAGGTCAATATTTTCAGACCTGTCAGGTGTTCCAATAATTTTGGCCAACACTGTAAATCACTCAATGGCCTAGGACAGAGGTGCCCAAACTCGGTCCTGGAGGGCCGTGTCCTGCAGAGTTTAGCTCCAACCCCAATTAAACACACCTGAACCAGCTAATCAAGCTCTTATAGGCATACTAGAAACTTACCAGCAGGTGTGTTGAGGCAAGTTAGAGCTAAACTCTGCAGGACACTGGCCCTCCAGGACCAAGTTTGGGCACCCCTGGCCTAGGACCTCAATACATTGCAGATATGCTCACTGAATAATAACTTAACAGACCACTCAGATCATTAGGATCAAGTCAAAAATACCAAGGGTTCATTTAGAACAAGGAGAGTCCGCTTATAGCTATTATGCCACCCACAGTTGGAACCAGCTTCCAGAAGAGATCAGATGTGCTAAATCAGTAGCCATGTTTAAATCTAGACTGAAAACACATCTGTTCAGTGGTGCATTTACTGAATGAGCACTGTGCTACGTCCCATCTGATTGCACTGTATTTTATGTATCATTTTCTATTCTTAACTTTTAATTCATTTTAAATCAATTTTTAAATCAGTTTAAAATTTAAATTCCTAGACTTTT